GACCCTTGCGAAAGTTGCTTAACGACTACGATCGCGGGCCGCGGCGCTTATCCACTACGCCACTGAGCTACTCTATACTAATGTCAAGTAAATTAATTAACTTTTACATGTAAAATGAAAATGAGATGAATGAAAGATGGAATAAAATGTATTTGAATTGTCAAAACCCATAATCATCGTTCGCTCTTCGTTATTCAAGTACACGTCAAAGTAGTAAAATGAAACGAAATAGCGCTATAATATCGCTAAGATGTCGTATACTATTGTAAGCCTATTATTATTATAGTTATACTTATTACTTTGATTAATAAAGAAATACTTGTAAAATGACTAACAAATAAGTGTAGTATTGAGTTGAGAATGTGATTGTACGAAATGTCACTATTTAAAACAAGTAATTTCCATGATCGCACATATTCATGTATTTGTATTCGTAAACAGTACAGATTTTTATTACTTATTGTATTTAATTTATATTGTTACAAATAAAAGATCAAAATTTATCACTGCATATTAAAAAGTATGATAATTTAAGTATACAATGTTACAAAAGGGTACTAATTATAAAAAGTAATTTCTAATGTCGTTCAACTACATGTTTGTGTGTTTCTAAAACGCAATTATGATTAAACCAAACTCAATTTAATAATTTACAAACCTAAATGTAACAAACTCAAAAATTAGAACATTGATTGTATTGAAAACGACATCTTGCGGAAAACTAAGACATTATTGTTTTTTATTGTTAGCAATAGAATAAAAAGAAAGCAGAAATGTAACGCCAATGAACGGCGAGACTATGAAATAAAGTGTTTATCAAGTAATATTGGTTTAAATTAATGCATCGTGCCAACTTCTGAGGTCGGCCAATACTATAGATAGAGTTAGAAGAGAGTATAGCTAGAAGAAATAGGCGGTCGCTCTGCAGCAAGTAATCCAGCTAGAATGGGCAGATCCATTCTTCTTTTTATATACCACACCCACGACCTTGACCAAAATATTTACATATAACAATCATACACGTTATTACGTACCGTCGTCATGGGATGATGGCACCTTTCCAAATGTCCCATGTTCGACTCCCGGCTCGTGATTGAAACGCCAATTATGCCAGATTAGATAACTAACTGTGTCAATAGTTCATTTAAAAATAAAGCATACTTCCACATTGTGTTCCCAGGAATCCGGACAGTCGGACATAGCTTTTATTTTATTTTCAATTTTTCGTACTGTAAGTTAATTATAAATTATGTAGTGCAGTATGTTGGTATGCTTTTATCAAATTTCTTCTGTTTCACTAGGAAATGCAGATAATAGCATTAGCAAATGTTGGATTAACAAATTTTTGCCATTTTACAAAGGGAACCCAGTTTTATATTTAATAAATATTATTTTAATTAAAAATTGTTTGTGTTATTCCCATATTCGAAATGAATCATTGTTATTATTTCCCCATGAAAGAAAAAGTCATTCCATTCTAAAGTCCATTGTGTTACCATTAACTACGCGGTTAACTATTAACTACCTACTGATTAATTAGGATATCAAATTGTCAATTAAGTATTTATAAATGCCCGTATTTACGACCGTACATTAAAAGTGCAAAATCTCAACTGATAGGGCAAAAAGTCATAGTTTTAATAAAACTGCTACATATAAATTGATAATTAAAAAAACTCAAATCAGAAACGAAAACCTATCTAAGTGAGGTTTAAGTACAGTTTAAGAGGTACTAACTTTAAATACTCTGTTCAGAATCCCGTTGTTAAACTAGCTGACATTTATCGCCCATCTCAAAGTAATAGCAAGCGACAAATTTTGACATTTAATTTGCTCAAACAAATTGGATTCAACTTCATATTACTAATAGAACTGCTTAAATATAAGGACGCTCGGAAATCGCCTGTGATGAAACTATTGTATTGTACATACAACTACCTAATCGCCAGCGGCTTTGCCAGCGTGGTCCTGTATTTATTATACACTGTAAAAATTCTTCTCGAGTCACTTCAGCGAATTTGTTTTATACTATGTACCTATAGATAAGCTAACTTCTGTTGTCTTGGTTATTTACATAATGAAAACGCAATTTGATAGGATTAGAACTGAAAAATAGAATTGCTTGGATTGTAGGGCTGTCACCTACTTACGCAGCAATATCTACTGAAATGTATTTAAAAGACAAATAACGCAAAACATTCTACAATATAATTTTATTCAATACATTTTCGTTAATATAACACCACTCTCAGAGTTCAAAATCACAAAATCTTCGCCCCCTTTAATCTCGTAAACATCATTTTCACGGAGAGTAACTTTTTTTTCTTCAATATTATCGACGAGTTTCGAATAAACATTTTGTTCACGTTTACCACTAGCGCCATCTCTTGATTGGTTCGTGGATATGATTTCGCCGCTAATGGTGCTCGGTTGAATTTTGTCAACTTTTTGCTTCTCGTGCTTTGCGAGTAAATGACGTCGTAGTCCCCGTGCTCTCGTATAGAGGGCACCACATATGTTGCATGGAAACGATTGCGAATGTTCGTGTACTGACGCAACATGCTCCTCTAAACTAATCTTGTAGCCGAATTTTTTGTTACAGATCGTACACTGTAACAAAAAAACAATAATAAAAAAAGTAGTTTTTCGCCTTTTATAGTAAAACTCTAAAACAACGAAGACACCACAACATTCAGACGCGAGACAATATTTCTACGTCGGCCATCGGAAATCGATACCGTGAAATCGGCGTGCAAATCTCTCAGATACGAGGTCATATGAGGTATCTTATTGTCATACCTAACTTAACGACTTTAAGATCTAATTAACCCAGTGAAATTAGGTAAAAAAAGGGGTCAACCTCGGAATGAAGGATAATAAGCTGGAAATTGGTAAAAACCTTTGTTTTGTCGCCCTAAATATTGTCTCAAAAGTCACAAATGCTATCGTGTCCGCGTCTTAAGATATTGAAGGTCAAAGATCACAAAAAACGATTTTTCGCGAATATCTCGGTTCCTATTGCTTAAATGATATTTTCACCTATCATGAAAGTTGTAGAGTATAAAATTCTCTACAACTTTTGTCTAAACTTTTTTTTATACGATCAACCGTTTTTGAGGTAGAGCGCGAAGAGTGCGCAGCGTACAGTCATATATGATCTAATGCAGGGTCAAGCGTGAGTTACGGTTATCAGTACGTTGTATAAAGTCAATTATTGACAAAAAAAATATAATTATTAAGCAATGCCCATTATTTCTGTACTTATTCTTAATTATTTATATTTAATTATTTAATTATGGGCAAAATGAAAATAAGACAGTTCTGTCTCGAGGGTGATCATTCTATCACCCTACAACCAAGGTTTTTATTCTGTGTTATATAAAGTAGAAAATACTATTCTGAAATTCGGTTTCGAATATTTATAATATAACAATATACTGTATAACTTGAATTTTTAAGAGCGAGAAATTTATGCATTGACGCCGGACTACCTAAACTTGGGATTGTCTCACTAAAAGCAAGACGTGTGAACATATTACTAAACAGTTAGTAGACTGCCTGAAAACGGGACTGTCTCAGCGAAAGCAAGACGTGCGGTCACATTACTAAATAGTTTGCAGACTGCCTAAATACGGGACTGTCTTACCGAAAGCGAGAGGCGTGGTGACATTATCAAAGACTTAGCAGACTGCCTGAAACCGGATTGTCTCGTCGAAAGCGAAACATTTCACATTATCAGAGTTAGCAGACTTTCTGAAAATGGGACTGTCTCACCGAAAGCGAAACATGTGGTCACATTAATACAGAACTACAGACTATCTGAAACACGCATGAAATCAGAACATGTCTTTATTTAAAAAAAAAATTAATAAAGTAAGTTAAATGTAAAACAAAACAAATTGAAATATTTTTGAGTATCTTCTTTGTTGTTTAGGTAAGGTCCAATAAAAGAAGTGTTATCTAATGCGGTCCGGTGTTTTATTGTTGTACACGCCTTATGTGACCTGCGTATTGATGATTATTATTATTATTATTATTTAATTCGTTATGTACAATCGTACAGAGGCGGACTAAATGCTTTAGGCATCTTGAGGGCCCAGGGTTGTACTCAAGGGTTGTATGTTTTAGTAGAGCGGCATGAAGAATAAAAAGCTGTCTGATAGCAACAATTCTAATGGGGGGCTAATTCGATTTAAAGATATTCACGAACTTCAAGCCACAACTTTATGCCATGTGATAGCAATTGCGATCGCGAGATTCACTAGACTTTAAATAGATTTTTCTAAGGTTAGACGCTGTTGATAAATGTCAAATTAAAGAATTAAATGCTAACTGCAATCTTTCAAGGGTAATTTAATTTTTACTATGCTTCTTTACAGTTAAAATCATGATTCTTTCCTAAAGTCATTGCGGCTTTAAAAGTTACATAGTTCCACAAATTGCTATCACAATCGCAACACCTTGGAGAGAGATGGCGATAGATTTAAAAATTAGACAATGAACCCCATGGATTTCTCTACATATACGTCATATTAAATTTTTTACCTCGAAACTTTTATCACCCAGATGCCGCCGGCGATGAGCGCGCAGGTTAGAACTGGATATGCACCGCTGCGGACACAAATCGCAGCTATAAGGGCGGTCTCCGGTATGCTTTCTGAAACAAAAAAAAAAATACATTTAACGCGTGGTTTCACGAAATTACCACTTTTTAAACCAGTTTTATTCTAAGGCTATGCTAATATATGCCAAATACAAATAATTTAATAAAAATATTATACATATGGTCAATCTCAATTATTGGCTTGATATAAAAAATCGCAAAGATAACTCTAAAACGTTTTTTTTTTGATAAATTTTATAACTATTTCATCGCAACTATATACAATAACAGGCTTTGATATAATAGAAAATGTCGATGCAATAGTGTAATACCGAAATGCGTAACTGCGTCGTAGCATAAGTCCTCCTTCATTTGGCATCTTTTGGCTACCGATCTTACAGTTTGCACAAACATCCATTAAGGTTTATTGTAAATTTTAAGCTTTAATGAATATCTAAATTTGTATCACTAATGTTGTTTTAAACTAATGAAAATGTTTATGGATGTGTGTGCAAATGGCTGTTTATCCTTATCTTCTAAATACCTTATATGTACAGTGAGTGATGACCTCTGTGCAGTTCTGTAGCCACAATGAGGGCATGCATGCTGTTTTGTGCCGGTGTGAGTTAATCTGTGCTTGTGCAAGTAGTCCTGCCTTGTGAATACACGACCACAGCTCTGAAAATCAGTGATTTATTTGTTGAGAAATTAGTTATTTATAAACACATTTGGTATAGCTACATTCTAGCCTTGATTTGAATTTTTTTACAGTATTGTAATAAAAAAAAATTGTATAAATGCAGTACAAACATATAATTTTAAGATTCTATACCCAAAGAGTAAAATCGGCACTCTAAGACACTTTTGTCTGTCTGTCACCAGGTTGTATTTCATTAACCATGTTTGCTAGACAGTTGAAATTTTCACAAATGATGTATTATTATTAGTTTTATACTCACTAACATATAGAATCATATCTCTGCAAAGACTTTGTGATAACAATTTTTTTTTCTGTTTTTTATAGATAATGGAATGGAACCCTTCTGTGTCAGACTATTGATTTTTGACCATTCCGATTATTGGCCTCTTTAGTTGTTAACATCCACCAATTTGTAACAAGTACATTTTCTGTCTGTACAGAAGACTATATGCTCCAAAAGCAGGGTATAATGGTAGTGATGAAGAATTCAAAGGTTAAATTAATATAATACCCACTTCACACACATAATTCTTCTTTAAAGCTTCATGTTCAGCCATATGTTCCGTTAAACATAATTTTGTTTTAAAAAGTTTGTAACATTTGGCACATTGAAATATGTTTTCTGGCAGCTCAACCTCCAAATGTTCTCTATGGTCTCTCATGTGTGCCTCATACATACTCCGTTTTGGTAAAAACCTATCACATTTAATACACTTATAACCTTCTTTGAGGCCTTTACAGAAGTTGACTTCATGTGCGAGTCGTGCTTTGCGAGTTTTAAAACGCTTCTCGCAGCCAAAGCACTTGAATAGATTCCCTCCCTCAATTCCATGGTGTGTTGCATTATGAACAGCCAGCTGTTCTTTAGTTTCTAAATCTAAACAGCAAATGTTACAGTAAGTTGGCGACCTCTTTGGTTTATATCTTTTATTTTTAAACTTTAACAAAACCTCTTTCTTTGAACTACCCTTTTGAAAACATTGTCTATAACAACTGCTCTGAATATCTAAGCTTTTTAGATAACTCAGCTTTTTATTTTTATCTTTTTTCTGTTTAGCTGTTTCAGCCAGCTCATTATCATTGCCATCTTCATCAATTTCAAAGTCAATAGAAACATCACTTATTAATATTTTTGACTCATTCAATTCACTATAATCTGTTTTAATATTATTTTGACTTATCTCACAGTCCCTTTCATCTTTTACATTTTGCGAAATATCTAAAATGTCACCATTTTTATTATTATCACACTCGTAACTATCAACACTCTCAGTTTTAACATTGCAATGTAGAATAAACTTATTTGTATTTAATTTTGTGAGTTCACTTAATCGCTTATCAGTTTTTTGACAAAAATATTTAAACTCATAATACTCTTCAATTTTATAATAACAACTATTACAAGCCTTCTTGGGGAAACTATTTTCATTTAAGTTTATGCCCAGACAATCCTTTATTTTATCCACAAATTGGTTATTGCACGATTTGTTTGGTATTAGGGCAATAATATCGCGTTCAGCTTCTTTATTCCAACAAAATCTACACACCTTTTCATCTAGAAAGTATTCGTATGAGTACTGTTTTTCATCGATATCAATTATAACTTTCGACATAGTTAATAATTATATTATCCGCAAATCAATAAATTTTAAGTAGTCGTAGGCCATATAAAATAGAACTATGATACAAATATAAAATTTAATATACTTGTTCGCCCGTCTTTTAGTTAAACAATCGAAAATAAACTTTAATTAATTTCAACAAAACGAATGAATTGAATATCTGTCTAACACTGTCTGACATTAATATGACATCTGACTAACTGACTGACTAGAGAAACCGAGCTGGTATCGATTACTCAAAGGCACGTCACTTCATTTATTCGATATTTTAAACTATATCAAGTTTGGTACGTTTTTTCCTGTTTCTTTAAAAATCATAAAATAATTTGCAATGAGAATATTTATGTAAAAGATTTGTGAAACTCATTTTATCACTTTAATTATTCGTCAATTAATGCAAATCGGCAAAACATTGCTGCTCTAAAGTGGCAGGCGTATTATCTGGCGGAGGCTAAATAAAAATATTATCGGCGTTAACACACACTCAGACTCTCTCTTCTATAAGAATTTTTAATCGTATGTACATATACATATATGTACTTTCTAGTCAATAAATAAATTGGTATTTCGATAATTTGGTGTTAAATCATCTACAAAAAAATACAAGAACAAGACTCAATTTATGTCTTAGAATAATAGACATATTTTTAAATAAACATACTGCATTTTGAAAGTTTAATTTAAATTTTATTAATGAAATAAAATTTTCATAATGCAGTTCTATGCACTCTACGAACTGCCGATACCGTTTTCGTTCCTTTATGTGCTTAATTTGAAATACCATATAAGATAGACGTATACTGCCGCGGACATTTATATAAAACTTTTAAATGGGATCAATTTTATTAATGAAATAAAAATTTCATAATGCAGTTCTATGGTAACGATTGAATGCACTATACGAACTTCCGATCCCGTTTCGTTACTTTATGTGCTTTATTTGGAATACGATATAAGATAGACGTAGGTATACTGACGCGGATATTTTTTTGGAACTTTTAAATGGGATCAATATCATAAAAAAAAAGGTTCCAGTAGTTCCTGAGATTATAAAGTTCAATCAAACAAACAAATAAACTCTTCAGCTTTATAATTAATATAGACGATAGTAATAATTTGTTTGTTTTTAAATGTGGTACACTGTATATTAAACAATTATACAATTTTAGTTCAGTCCATTTAGCAATCAGTAATAACATGCAAATAAAATTATTATTACCATTTATAAATTCTAAGAATAAGAATAAGAATAACATACATTTATTACATATTTTTATGATTTATACATTCTATAACACTAAAAAGCACAACTATATTGAAAATATTTTTTAGTTTCCATTATAGTATTTAAATTGATTATAACTATTATAAATAAAAATTCAAATAAAACATAATTTAAGACATCGCTCTTAATTTTTGATTAATCGATATTGTCAACAAATTTTAGTTACTAAACTTGAACATTTTTGTGTAACTATGTATTGTCAATAATCTTTAAAGCAAATGAATCTAATCCTTACAGCCATTTTTTTATTAAATATTTTTTTACTACATATTCGTATATATTATTTTAACCCACTTCGTATAAATCACATTCTCGTTCACAAATTTCCATTATCTATTATTTATAGGTGAACACACGGCTGCATGTCAGACTATACATTGTAGACTATGTACCGACCGCGCTTAGTATAAAACTTCTCTAGTATATAACAGCAGTCTGCTTACGGTGGCAGTGTGTAGCGTGATATGCGGCCATGCGTACTTTGACAAGCCTCCTGTGCCTTAATTCACGGCTACTGCACAAATATTGACACCTAAAGCCACGAGTCCATTGGACTGCCATATTTAAAATAAAAAAAGCCAATGACACATTACCACCACGTACACCGATAATGATAAAATGATAACAAAAGTTAGTTGGTTGGAGACTCTTTATGGTATATTCCGATTATAATGGTTGATGATTTTTCTTAGCTTGTTCTCTGTTTTCAATTTTATTTGCTACGATTATTGGTGCTCAGACGAGTGTTACTTAAAAAAATTTTTAATATAAGGGATGGCGACTAATTTTCGTTTATTTGTCCGTCAGGTAGATTATTGAATAATATATTAAATAAGTATTTTTTGTATAATCAAAAAATTACGGCGATACAGTTTGATTGTTGTAATGTCGCATAAGGTCACACTATAATACATTTTCTACAAAATTGTGTCGTAGCAAGCCCCCACTCCTCAACTTTATTGTCTATTATCTAAGCAAATTCTTGTTTAAATTGAAGCAAAAAAATAGGTTTCTTATATTTTTCTATTATCTGAGTGACAGGCTAATTTTTTTTTTACCCGGCCGTCATACATATTGCAATGTATTTTTAAAATGGTATAGATACGTAAGTGAGTTAAATATAATAGATAAAGTGGGTTATTAAATAAGAGATATAAACAAAGAAGTTGATTGTTTTCTTTATTTAGAAAATGGATAAAAATATAAATTAAATATAAATGATATTGTTTTAATATTACTTAAATTACTGAATGTCAATCAATGTAGCTATATCCATTAGCTTTTTGTGACAACATGTCTCAATGTATGATGGGCACTCTATATCTGCAGCACTGTAAATTAAATAATATTATCAATTATTATTAGTTACATACAGTAACAACTAATATTAATTTTGACGCCTAGATGGAGTTGTAGTTAATTATATCGCGATAAGAAAATTTTGCTGTCATTTCATATACACAAAATTGATTCGAACGTTTCTTCCCGCCCTCCACAGCACGGGGTAACCGAGATCCTAGCCTTTACAGGCATCCTCTAATCATCCCGACCCCCAGCAGTCGGAGAGAGTGCGAGAGTCCTTGGTGATATTACAACGGAGTAGAGAAACCCCCTAGTGTGATTGCCCTCCAAATAGATAGCTTCCAGGACAATCGTTCTCTCAGCTCATGGTCCTAAGGATCTAAAAGCCATTTCAGGCCAACAGTAAACACTGCTCCATAAAAAAATACATGTCTCCGTTCTGCGAGTGTTATTATTTTTATTTATCTCCCCACGATTCCTGAGATTTTGTACTGAATATACAGCCCCAGAGACGCAGTGCAGATAAGCATATAATACAACTCTTCTTTGTTTAAACAAAATTTAATAAAGCACAAATATGTGACGAAGTCTCATGTAGTCGTGCTACACAGTGTCATCATCATCAGCCCTTTTACGTCCACTGCAGGGGCTCAGGCCTTCCTTATGGATGGTTCAGGAGGACGGGTCATGACCCTCCACGCTGGCCCAATGGGGTTTGGAGGGTATTAACGACCGCAAATGCAGCGGGGACCAACGGCTTAACATGCCTTCCGAAGCACGGAGTAGCTCGAGATAATATTTTTTTGGTCACCCATCCCGTGAGCGACTATTGCGAAAGTTGCTTAACGACAACGATAGCGGGCCGCGGTGCTTCACCAAACTACGCTACACAGTGTGATAAGATGAGAAGTTAGTACCTATGTGATATATAAAGAAAATGTAAGTGACTGAGTGACTACGTAAAGGGGGTCTACCACGTAACTAGAGTTCGTCTCACGAAAGAAGTCCCTCGGATCACATTGTTTTCACTTTTATTACAAAGAAGGTTATGCCGCGGGACTTCTTTCGTGAGACAGACTACACTTAAATAGTCATCCGGTATGTATTATCTGGCACATCAAATGTCAGACTTTAGTTTGACGTTCAAGCTCATTTTCCGGTGTTGATCTTACGGTCAGTTGAAGGCTTTAGTAATTATTCTGAACAAACGGCCATTATGGTTTAATAACGCTAAAGTTCTAATTTGTATAGATAATGTGACACTAAAATAATGGGGGATCGAACTTAATGGGCGTTTGTGTAACTGACCGTTTGTATAAACCCGCAAATTGCTAATGCGCCCGGCCGCCATTTTGAAATTGCGTTCATAAATCAGTACCGTTAACAAATAAACACTGGTTGTGTTGAGATCACACATTATTTTTGTTGTGTTTTTGTTGGTTTCTATAGTTATTGTTAAATTTTGTTGTTACCTTTATGGTTGATTAATAGTTTAATAGTTGCTGTCATTATCATTTTCACAATAAGGAAACATACTCATTGTTTCACTAATAATAAATATATCTAATGTCCTTCATTTCATTCTTACTTTTAGTAATGTTTATATTGTAAATGTTATTTTTTTACTTTTTTTATTTTAATTATACCTGAATATTTACATATAAAGAAATTACCTATTTAAAAAAAAACATGCAATAAATTAACAAACTAAGAGAAACTAAATTATTATAACAATATTTTAGGGATAAGTCATAAATATTTTAATTATTAATATAAATTATAATTTCATCGACTAAGATGTTAATACAACATCCGCTCAGGTTGACTGGTAGAGAATGCCTTTGGCTTTAACTCCGGCTTTTGTGTTTTATTCTAATCAATGAAGAATAAATAAATAAATTTATCTTTTGTCAAAATAAATTTATTTTTTGTGCTGTCGATACTATTTTCAGATGACGTCACGCGGTTGTTAGACAAGGTTCCAACGCATTAACAAGTTACGGGAATTATACTTAATATGAAAATTTTATATTAACTGTATGTTTTAACTATGGATTGTATGGCGAGCAATATTTTATCTTAAAATATCATATTATTGTAGTAGATGCTACTACCGTCTGTTACAAGCTTTTAGTGCGGAAGAGTTACCCACGGCCCTTGTGATCCCGTCATGTGGTAAGCATATTGCGTAACATATACCTTGGTCAAAAAAAGACGATACCAGAAAACGAGATCAAACGTCAAAATGTAACCACTGATAAAGCTCTGACCAGTGGCGGACTAACCCGTCAACTCCGATGGGGCGGGGCGGCATCAGGCTTGGACCTACAACCGCAATTACTACAATTTATGATACGAACAAGGGAACTTGCAGCCAGCCATTTAGCCATTTGTCCTGACAAGAAGCCCGGGGCGAACCGCCCCCTCTGCCCTCCCCCCTTATTCCGCGACACTTGATATCAGAAATTTGTACTATAAATTTTACAAGAAGCCGGGAGGGCACCGGTAGTCTTATTATTTCTAAGCTAAAGGGGGAAATGGGTCTTTTGAATAAGGTTCAGCTCCCTTACTCTCGAACGCAATCGAGACCGATCGATATTGCAATAGGGATGATGACTAATTTTTGTTTGTTTGTCCGTCAGGTACAGTGTTAAAAAATATTAAATATTACGTATTTTTTTCGTAATCATTAAATTACGGCGTCACATTGAGTTGAAATTTCGCATGACGTCACGTTAGAGTACGTTTTCTACTCAACTGTGACGTAGCGAGCCCCCACTCCTCAACTTTAATGCCTGTTATCTAAACTATTTCTTGTTAAATTGAAGTAAAAAAAAATACGTATCTAATATTTTTCTATTATCTGACTGACAGACTAAATAGAATTGCAATATTTTTACCCAGTCATCAATATCATCCCTATTGTGACTCTTGGTTGGCTCATTAAAATACCCTGGCGCTACTATACCCAATCAAGATTAAGAAACGGCACAATTCGAGAGTAACGGGGCTGGTCAAGTGGTCAGCCTACCAAGAAGTTTAGAAAAGAAAAAATGAAAACACATTCACAACCGTGTATATTGTGAAACACAGCACAGAAGGTTTCCGCACATTTTCCAGATTAATTGGGGTTATTGAAAATCAGTTTCGGTAAAAACGTAAAATTTAAAACTACCACT